CCAAAATATCTCTCAGGCTGAAGTGTTCCACTTGTTGACTTCAGGTTCCAGCAGCACATGCCATTCATTTGGTCCCGGTGCTCCTCGCAGGGAATAACAACATGATTACCAGTAATGATCTTTCATGCTGTAGAGTTTTCTTCTCACACTGCTTCCATGTTGAAGGAATTTCTTTGAAACAATGCATAGGACATCACAAACATGGTGGGAGTGGCCAGTAAGTTCATGCTAAAGATTAGAAATGGGGACAAAGGGTGACTTGTCTGCATTTCCTCAGGAAGCTGAAGACAAAAGAGAAGAATAAGATCCCAGACCTTTGGTTCACATGCTGTTACCAGAAAATTATCATGGGGCTTGCTAAAAAAAGGGCATCTGTAGTGAATCCAAGGATGTTACCCGCATCTCTTAATCCCTAAAAATGAGAACACACTGTGTTACACAAAGCGGGAATGGGAGTGAGGTGACGCCCTCCCTCCATTCATATAGTCTAGTCTTTGTTTTATTTTGCTGGCTTACTTCAATTCACCTACCTTTTCCAATGAGCTTCCATGACCCATACCTCAGCTGTTGATTTAAATTTACTAATGGTAGGCCAAGACATGCAGGGCCAGGTAGAAGATCTTTGGATCTCCACAGCACGCTGGGGCACAGTGGCTCTGATCCAGCCTGGTGGCTCTCTGCTTGTCTCGATAACGCTTGTTGTCTGATACATTCAACTTCCCAAGGGATGATACAGGCGCACCGTTTTGCCTTCTGCACAGTTCCCCAAGTCCAGCACTCCTAGTTGAACCAGGGCTGCAGAAGGACAGCAGCCAGAGGTCGAGAGTGGGGATCTTGTCCTGTGTTTGAATCGGAACTGATTTCAAAGGGAAATCTTAGTCCTTTGGAAGGCTGTTCCCCCACGTACATGAATACTGTTCTAAAATAAATAACATTACAAACTGTTTTGGTCTCATGGGCTCCTTGCTGCTTGTTTGGGCACACACAGGTGCCGTACCCATTCTCCTTGCAGAGCCACGCTCTCTGTTGAGGTGTTCCACATCTGTCTGGAGGTGTGAGATTATTTCGGACCTTTTGCTTGTCTCTGGTGTGTCCATTTCTCATGAGCCAGAATCAGTTTTGCCTCTCAACTTCCTGCAAGGTTGTGCTTATTGTGGGCCTCAGCAATGGCCATCACTCACTTCTTGCTTAGCTGACCGTCTGCCTCCTAGCAAGTTTTCAGAGGGCCTTTCTGAGAAAAGCTGCTGTGATTAGCTGGTAGCACGGTCCTCCTGTGTCTCTCTTGACAGTGAATCTTTCAAATTTAGCTCTCATTAGCTTGGTTACGGAGATGGCTACAAGTACTCCTCATGCACACCATCTGTTAAAACTGGTGTGAAATCCAGGCTAAGTACATGGGCCACCACTCCATGCCAAAGAATCGCAGTATTGCCAAGCAGCTCCTGATACAAAATCACACTGCTGTAAATCACCTGGAGCACCAACCACTGAAACATCAGTTGCCTCGCTGAAGACCTTGATGTCTGCAGAGCCCAGAGCTGGGATAAGGTAGGAGTCTGGCTGCCACATAAACTTAAAATTTTTCTTCTTTTTTAATGAACAACTCCACATTGTTGCGGAGAAACCTAATTGCTGTGGGTTTGTGTACCCAGGCACGCATCGCCTTCTCACACCTGCATGAGGAAACTGTAATTTGTAGAAGTGGGTGATTGGGCACAGTCCTGCCACTAATACCAGGACCTTAAGGCCCTCATGGTTTTGCTTTTATCAAAGTCACTAGGCAAGCTGATCTCCTTTGCATTGTGCTGTTTTCCCTGTTTTGTTATAGCAAGAGTGAAGGAGGTGATGACCCAAGTGAGTTTGTCCCAGGCTAAAGAGTTCCAATTTCTGCTCTTTAAATACTGTTCTCAAACCTGTCCAGGCCCTGGTGGTTGCTTCCGTCAGCCACACTCTTCTGCCTTGACACGTCAGAGGTCTTTCATCAAGGACTAATTACTTTTTGTAATTTTGTAACCGGATAGGAGGATGCCAACCATTTTAAAGCAAAAAGAAAAAGGAACCAAAATAGGAGCTTTTGTTTCTGAGCTGGGTTCCTGGCTTACCTCTATCCTTCCATCTAATGTGATCCCACAAGGCTTCAGCTTTCGGGGGGCAGCAGAGGAGTCCCAGTGACGGTCTGCTTCCGCCTCTGTGCTGCTTCACTCACAGTTATTTTTTACCCCTCTGCCTCAGCAGCCATATCGTTTTCCCCTCAGCAGTCAGCCTCTCCCCTTCCAGCAGTGGGACTGGATGCCTGGGTTCGTCTCCACTTGGGACAATTGATGGAGGAGCCTGAATTAGGCGCAGAGTCCACATAGGCTTCCTTGCTGGTCAATATTCAGTAGGCACCTTCAAAGAGCAAGGCAGGTTTAATCACCCTCTGGAGTCTCAGGTGAGCTCTGAAGGAGCCTCCAGTGTCAGCAGCAGGTGTGTAGCTACACCAGCCTTCTCGTTACAGCACTGCCTTCTACTAGAGACAGTCCAGAGGGGGGCTACAAAGATGATTAGGGGACTGGAGCATCTCCCCTATGAGGAAAGGTTGAGGGAGCTGGGCTTGTTTAGCCTGAAGAAAAGAAGACTCAGAGGGGATCTTATAAATGCTTAAGGGTGGATTTCATGAGGATGGAGCCAGACTCTTCTCGGTGGTGCCCAGCATCAGGACAAGGGGCAATGGGCACAAACTGAAACATAAGAAGCTCCAGTTGAACATGAGGAAGAACTTCTTTACTTTGAGGGTGACAGAGCACTGGAACAGGCTGCCCAGGGGGTTGTGGAGTCTCCTTGTTTGGAGATGTTCAAAACCTGCCTGGACAATGTCCTGTGCAACTGCTCTAGGTGAACCTGCTTTAGCAGGAGGGTTGGACTGGATAATCTCCCGAGGTCCCTTCCAACCCTTGCCATTCTGCTAATCTGTGATTCTGTGAGTCCAGGCCCTGGTCCCCTGTTGCTCCATTGGTTTGAGCCATCCATCTCTTTTGCCTGTTGGTCTTCACAGTGTGACATTATTTTTCAGATGAGAAATATTGTACTCTGGTGATGGATACTTCCCATCTGATGGGATGGGAATTAATTGTCACCCCTCTTCCCGATGGCATGGCATGCTTTTAGGATGCCGCTGATGCTCAGAGCCCGTTCCAGGGTCAAAAAGGAAACAAAGGGATCCATGCCAGCATGCACATATCGTTTACCCACTTTCTTACAGGACCCGCTAAATTTGAGGCTGTTTTCCTGCTGGTACAATAAGCGATATTCAGCATGGGAAAAGATAAGAGACAAACCTTTCCTCCTTTCTTTCTCCTCTCAACTCCCTCAAGCTGTAATTCATATTCCCCAGCTCCTTTCTTTAGGAGCTGGCTGCAGCTGTTAGAATAGGGTTAAACAATCTCACTAGGAAGCAGAGAACCAGCCTGTCCAGGTCCCGCTGAATGGCAGCACAGCCTTCCGGCGTATCAGCCACTCCTCCCAGTTTTGTGTCCTCAGCCAACTTGCTGAGGGTACACACTTTCTTACAGGACCCGCTAAATTTGAGGCTGTTTTCCTGCTGGTACAATAAGCGATATTCAGCATGGGAAAAGATAAGAGACAAACCTTTCCTCCTTTCTTTCTCCTCTCAACTCCCTCAAGCTGTAATTCATATTCCCCAGCTCCTTTCTTTAGGAGCTGGCTGCAGCTGTTAGAATAGGGTTAAACAATCTCACTAGGAAGCAGAGAACTTTATCATAGCTAAGGAGGATTAACGCACGTGTAATCCCCTTACAAAGCCACTTGCCTTCCAACTCCAGTGCGTAAAAATAAAAAAAGGGTTGGATCAATGTTATTTTTCTCATATCTAATTTGAGAACAATAGAGCACATTAAGTAATTAAAATCTTCACCTTTAAGGTGCTTAAAAGCAAGGCTGCTGGCAGATATATAATTAACTCCAGTTAGGTGCTTTTGCTTGTTTACTTCAGTTAATTTGTCTAGCGCGGGGTCTTTGGGCTTGGAGCTTTATTTAGAAAACATTTTGTTGTTGCATAAGATAATGCAGTGGATAGGCAGGGACCAAAGACAGAAACATAGAAAAAAGATAATTTACTGAGCCAACATAGGTGCTAATACAGGACATTTCAGGCCCTCTTTGTTATGCCATCTGCAGATGCTGGCAATTTATCTTTTGTCAGAAGTCAAGTTCTTAATAGGCTGGGTAAAATCACCCCAAATGCTAGGATTTTTCTTGTGTTGGACCATTCGTGTTCCTTGGGTTTTATAAGGTGTCTTAACAAAATCTGACAGCACTGGGGAAACAAACCTTGGGGAATGACTTGCAATTATTTATTCTTTGGATGTTACATGTGAACGGGTGACTCCGCAAAAGAGCCCACAAATGGTTGGCATTTTATGATCTGGATAACACATATGAGAGGCTGGAGGATAATGACTGACACGGGGGAGGAGGGGGAAATATTATACTGATGCTGTGTGAGCACTGTAGAGGAAGCGAGCCTTTAGAATGTGAAACCTCCAGCACTTGAAATGCTAAGCAGTGCCTATAGAAATCAGCTTGTGGGATCTGCTTCTCTTGCTAAGCTGCCTTTGAAGGATGGGGGGGTTGGTTTGCATTCAGTTCCCCTGGGGAAGTTTTCCCGCCTTTCTAGTCTTGTCCGCTGATCAGAGCTACACCCCCGGATCTGTAGGCATCTGTATCCCCATGGAAGGCTGTGATAAAGCCCAGTGGTTTTTTGCACAATATAAATGATTTTACTTCCCTGTAGGTCTCGAGTTCAACAGCCACAGGAGACTGAGCCTGTCAGCAAATGAGCACTTCATGGCTTCTGCTTTTTTAGTGAAGTGTTGGTTTCATTGCTCCTGACAAGTGCATCTCAATATAAAAATCATGTGTGCAAGTTGACATTTTTTTCCCCCTTTTTTTTTCCTGTGGAAAATTTTTCTTTGCCTTCCTGTATTTACACCCTTGCTTAGGGACTGAGGACTAAACACGCGCCTGCCAGCTCCCCTGCCGAGCCCTGGGCTCCCCCTTCCCTTCAGGAACTGCATGTACTTTCAGCGACCAGTTGATGTTCAGGTGGCCTTGGACAGACTGAAGATCCTGAGAAGCTTGGATCCTGACAAGATGGAGGCATCACGGCTTGCTTCAGCCTTTCCCACTGTCTCTGAGCTGGAACAAGAGGTGGGCAGCTGCGGATCTAGGATAAGGCCATCAAAGCTGGGGGAGTTTTACCAGAGATGGACCCATCCGGCCATTTAAGTGAATCTAAGGCCAAGTTACTCAGGTTACCTATCTACACCCATGATTTCATAGACTCATAGAATCATAGAATCCTAAGTTGGAAGGGACCTCAAGGATCATCTGGTCCAACCTTTCTAGGCAAGAGCCCAGTCTAGACAAGATGGCCCAGCACCCTGTCCAGCTGAGTCTTAAAAGTGTCCAATGTGGCGCAGGCAACCACTTCCCTGGGGAGATTATTCCAGTGGTTGACTGTTATTGTGAAAAGTTTCCCTTTCATGTCCAACCGGAATCTCCCCAAGAGAAATTTGTGTCCATTTGTCCTTGTCCTCTCCATGTGACTCCGTGTGAAAAGGGAGTCTCCATGTTCTTTGTAGCTACCCCTTAGGTACTGGTACGTGGTGATGAGATCCCCGCTAAGTCTGCTTTTCTCAAGGCTGAACAAACCCAGCTCTCTCAGCCTGTCCTCATATGGCAGGCTTGATTCAAACTGAACTGTAGCATTGTCTTATACTGCAGAAAGTCTGGGTGCCCAACCCTTCTAAACCCCAGTTTCTCACTGGGGGGGAGTTGCTTAATGCAAGGCTGGCCCCTGGCCCCTATGACACTTGACTGGTATCACAGCTCAGTATCTCCAGCAATATCAAACCTGCCAGCTCAACAGGGATGACTGTACCAGCCCCCCAGCCTAGAGCCACATAGAAGCCTTTTCCTTGCAGGGCAGCCGCTGCCACCCTGAGCCAGCCCAGCTGGAGCACAGGAGCCAGCTGTGCCAGGAACGCACAGGACCTGCTCTTCCCACGCTGCCATGGAGCCTGCACACCATGGCACTGCGCGATGCCACAGCCTGGCTGCCGCTCCTGCTCTCAGTTGGTGGCCAGGCACATGTACGGAGCCTTCAAACTTGACTCGGGCAACAGGCACAGGGGTGGAAGGAGGACAAATCCCAGACATATGGCATTCTCCCTCTTTTCTATCCCCTAATCTTTCCTCTGGCAGCCTGTGTTTGACCGCTAGCAAGTCCACATCAGCTAATCAGCTCTCACAGTGTGCCCTGAGTATCTGTGGCGGGTCCTCACCGAATGGTGAAGGACGTCGCGGCGCTTGGACCTCATCAGAGAGGACCCCTGGGCTCCCCTCCACTTCCCCGCAAGGGGATGGAAGCGGCGAGCGGCACGCTCAGACGCTGTTGCAGGCAGAGAGGCTCTCCCCAGCCTGGCAGTCACAGCAGCATGTCAGCGGTGGGAAGTCCTACGAGGGAGCCCCAAACCAGGCTTGAGTTACTCTCCAAACCTCCCAGAGCCTGCAGGAAAGAAACAGGGTCTCGTGTTCACCAAGCATGGAGCCAGCTACCTCCAGGGGCAGGCAGTGGTGCCGTGAGCGCTGGGTGCTGAGAGCAGCCAAAGAGGACACCAGCTCCAGCAGAAATGTCTCTGTGAACAGTCTGGATGGAGCAGGAATATCTCCAGATAAGAAACTACAGACTTTGAGAGACTGACTCAGAAATGGGACAAAAGGTAGCAATTGTGTTTGTTTATCATTGCAGAGATCTTTCTCGCCCTCTGACTTCACCCTTCCTGTTTCAGATGGGTCACCCTGACCTAATTTTCAGACAATATTTTTGGATTTCACGGAGCCACAATGGAATCTGGATAAGTAGGAGCACAGGGGCTTTCCTGGTAGGTTTGCAAATGCAAGCAGGCTTGGGTTCAGGTGTGGAGAATAATGTGGTGGAAAAAGGCCTCAGCTGTACTTCTTTTGCGTGGTCCTGGAGTACAGCGTTTTCCTTACAAACCTCTCTGTTACGGTGGTGGCTGGTGGCAGGTTGCAGTGGCATGGCCGAAAGGGCCAGTGTGGGAGTGCGTGGGGCTACGGCTGGAGAAATCTGACCTGGGGTTTCCCATTTAAGCTAAACCTCTTCCTCCCTGGCAGGCATGAAGGTTAACTCAGCTGTGCAAACTAATTTATATTCAGCCGCACGTGGCCGTAAACTGTACTTTTTGTTGCTAACAAATACGAATATGGTATTTGCTCTGAAAATTCACCATTTCTCATGTAAAATCTTTCCCCTTGCCATTTGTCTCTGCGATGTAGAGTTTTGCTTGGCAGATGGACGGTGCAGGAGGATGGCCAGGCTGCGGGGGAAAGAGGGATACGGGGTATCCTCTCTGCCTCTGAGTTCTTGTGCAAGTTTTACTCATTTACTATGGTGAAATGCAAATGAAAAAAAAAAACAAAAACCACGTCTTTCCAAACTGTTGAGAGCAAAGGGGAGACATCCTCCAGTGAGAGGATAGACAGGACAGTGGTGGATACAGCCCATGACAGAAAGCTTTGTTTCAAGTCCTTTTCCAGCTTGGAGATTGGATTTAAATAAGGGAGCTGTCAGGACTCGGAGCTGTTATTCAAAGGCGTAGCATATTTTTTCAGCTGCCATCCCTGTATCTACTTGTCTTTGCTCTGGGTATAAGGGCCTGGCATACAGACTTCCCTAACTAACTGGAAGGAAGCACCCACCTTCACTCAACCAATGGTTTTTTACCAAAGAGCATTGATCATGACCAGCGTGTAACAGGACTCATGGTACAATTTTTGGAGGGAGGCATGTCAGACACATCTCTCAGTCACTCAGCCAGCTTCACCACTGCATAACAGCGCTCCTTGAAATGGGTCTGTCTCAGTCTGGAAGTCACTCCATGAAGAATTTTTCAAGGATTTGAAAATTTAATTTTTAAAAGCTTCCCACTCTCTCCCAAAATTGGCAGGCTCTGGCACCCCTTTTTCTGGAATTATCAAATCTATCCTCTAAAAACTATGAAATGACCTACATAATGTCAGACAAACTGTTCTAAGAAATTTCTGCTTGAGCTTGGGAAGTAATGGAAAAACTCTTCACATGTATATTTTACATTGCAATGTCAGAAAATGCATACATATATATATATATAAAAATATATTTTTTAAAAGTATATATATACCCACTTATATATATAAATAAAGACCATTTGCAAATCATTTCCTTAGCTCTGTGAGCTGGGAAAATAATGAAGAAAAGTTATTAGATAATATTATGCTGTTGGCCACAGAGCTGTTTTGAGGTTACTATCCAGCCTGTTGCCCTTGGCACAGAAGAGCTGACTTTACATTCTGCCCATTCCCAAAGCCATCACATTAAACACAGGACTAAACCACAGGCACAGAACCGAGGAGCACGGGAGAAATGGAAAAGCTATTCAAGAAGCTGGCAGTTGACAACGGGACCTTGGAAAATTATTTCCTTGGATTCATTAGAATTTCTTCTTCCCTCACTCCAGACAGGGCTCTGCAAGGAGACAGTTTGGGCCATTGTGGTTGAACCAGCTGTTGAAATCCCAGCCAGCTCCTGAGTGAGCGAAAAATGAATTACAAACTGCCTTCAGCAATCTCTGCTTTCCTGAGCGCCAGGCACTGTGCTGCCCGTCACCAAATCAACAGGCAGCTTATTCCTGCTTGGACCTCGAGCAGGTGCCTCTGTCTCCTGGCCCCATTCTATGCCCTGATTGCAAGACCCCTTGTTACTCATTTAGCAGCGCACCTATGCCTCCGAATGTCATTGTCCCTTAGCACAGGGATCTTACCGCGCTGGTAGAATCGCACCTATTAGTTTGATGAGTCCTATCTGAGATGAGATGGTCAATGGGGGGGGGTTGTATCAGCATTTTAAGACTCCAGCACATCAACCCTTGAGGCTCAGTTGCAGCAGAGCATCTTCAGGATGCATATCAGGGATAGGGTACCATTTTCAAAAGCACCACAGACATGAGGGGCTCAGATGGAAAGCTGGAGAAGTCTAATCCAAGAGTGTCTCTCCAAGAGTACCATTATTCAGCCAGGGAAGCTCTTCTGATGTTAGTACAGCTGTATTGGAAAAGCTTGGGGGTCTACTAGGCTGGTAATGTGAACATGAGCCAGATCAGCTATACCAGGGAAAATTTTCTGATGTTCCTTGGTTTACCCACTAGCTTTCTTGCCAGCACAACTCTATTGACCTAGGACCAGAGCTGTTTGCAGACCTGACAGTACATTTTTGACCAAGAGACCAAAGGGCCAGGAGGCAGAGCCGCCTGCTCCAGGTTTTGATTTGATGACGGGCGGCACGTTGCCTGGGTGAGGAGGCGGCAGCGCTCAGGAAAGCAGAGCTTGCTAAAGGCAGTTTCTGCTTAGCTTTTAGCTCGTTCAAGAGCTGGCTGGGATTTCAACAGTAGGTTGCAAAACCTACTCAGAAGACTTCGATTCTACCCACTCCTTTGCCTTAGTGTTAAGTATGGCTGTGCACGCTGAACACCAGCACCAGCCCCAAGGCAGCCCTGAGTTTAAAAGCTGAGGCAGAATTCAGGTTCCTGAAGAAGGGTTTTCACTCCCATTAGCAGTTTCTGGCACTCCCATCCCCATGTCCTCACTTTTAATCAAACGGAGGAGACTTCGAGGCAGAGGGGTGACAATACATGTCCTCTCTGTGTGCCATTGCTTACAAAACCAATCTGGATTAAAGAGGACCTGTGTTTCCCTGGTCGGCTGCCTGTCCTGGCTCACTGCATGGGTGTCCCTGCTGTGGCAGAGCAGGGCACCACAAAGCCACCCTGCCTCTTCGAGCTGCACAAAATGCCGAGCTCAAGCTTGCCCTGCCATATGGCTGTGCTGCTAATCCTGTGGAAATGGCAGAGACGCTGCGGCTGGACACGTGGTTTTAGCAGTTTAAACATAAGCCTGGCTAGGGCTTACGCTGAAGTCCTGGCCCTGACATAGCAGCCGACAGGAGGATACCTGTGGCAGGCACACTTGGGGTCCTCGTGCTGCAGAGGTGGCCCCAACTCGGCCCTCCAGCGGTCCTTCTCGCTCACATGTGCGGCAAACTCTTCTCCGATGATAAGAGGAATTGCCCGTTTACTTTCATTTCAGTTGTGCGTGACTGGATCAAAGTATGTACGCTCTCTTTGCTTCAATTACGCATTTTGGTCTAATGTAGTCCAGATGGCTATTTCATCTCAGGCTTTATATTTATTCATGGCCTTTCTATTTAACTTTCCTAAAACAAATACTCACTCGTAGGCGTATATTAATTCAGGGACAAGAACTGCCTCAATCAATATGTTGAGGTTAAGTTTCTATACCACAATAGGTCCTATGTACATAATTTCTATTTTTATTACCCCACTGCTAGCCTCAAATGTATGAGCAATTTCTTTAAAGAGTTTACTTTGGCTTTTTCCTAAATTTAAACAAATTACAGTTCTCCCGATTATTAGATTTACAATATGCAGATATTCTTTCATTGACCTTTCAGTTAAGTCCTTCTGCAAACTTCTGCTGAATATTAGTAAATTTGCAAAAATACCAAGGAGCCCAAATGTTTGCCAACACGATATTGCACCACCTCTGGCCATGGCTTGGGTGTCCAGCAGAGGATAAAATTTGTTGTCGAATTTAAGTGCAACCCTGCAACCAACATGTGAGCACGGAGTGGAAAAACTCCAGCAACCAATGAGACAAGACACCGAGAATTTTCAATCTGCATCTACATCGTCTTTCAAACTGGAGTTGAAGGATGGGTGCTGTGAATTGTCTTGGGCGCTGCTGGTGGAGAGCTGAAAGCAGCGCCCGGTTGGAGGTATCTGAAGAGGAGCAGTGCCCAGCTCTGGGCTCGGCAGTGAGATGGGCACGCATGGCGGAGAGAACGTGGGAAGTCACTGTTTAATCTGTCTGGTATTTGATTTGGGCTTTTGGTCCTTGTTTGGATAACAGGATTGCAATTCCTCTTGGTACACTTACAATAAGAACATCTGAAACTCGGTTGCAGCCGGGCAACAGACTTTCATTTTGGGTAATCTGATTTTAGCTTTGGTGATTAGCTGCTCTCTTGTCAATGGCCAAATCTAATTGTCATTGTAGTTTCTCTTCCGGAACCAATACGTGCTAATGTCTCACAAGCTGGGTTTTGCTTCACGCCTTCTCTTCTCAAGTAATATCTCCCAAGGCGTTCACACACAGAGAGGAGGTGATTTCAGACCGAAGCATGAGGAAGCAGTAGCAATCACTGCTCGATTTTTCTGTTGCATGAAATGGACACGGTAAGCCACCTTTTAACATTCTGGGCATTAATATTGGCCTGAAAACCTTATACATAAATATATATATATGTATTTATCATTCCTAATATAAACATACTTTTCATGACATACGTTAGATGAAGTTTTCCAGAACCAGATTCTCTGCAGCATTTTGCACCCGTATTTTTATGTGTGTGAATGACTGCTCTAGAAATCAGTGTGAAACTGAGACTAGATGGGTCTCCAAGTTTCACTAGAGATTATTTTTTGTTTGTAGAACAGTTTCCTCCAGAGTTTGTTTGATTTTAAAAAAAACCAAAAAGGATGGGGAAACAATTTATGACAGCTTTTCCCTCCCCCACCAACCCTGTTAAATCAAAAAGCCAGTTAGAAATGTAAAGTTAACTTAAATACAAGTCCTTAGCCTGAGAGGAAAAGGAGACAGCAACGATAGTATCAGGGCAAGTTTCTTCTAATGCCACTTTCCTTTTGGTTGGACTTCTGCACCAAATGAAGCTTGAGGTTTAGGTCTGTAGCCCAGCTTCCAGACCCAGCAGATGCTCCCTGGAGAAACTATTCCAGTCTTTTCCTTGGCTAAAAGCAGAAATAAAATGCTGTGATGGCTTGAGAGGGCAGATGAAAGACAGCCTGCTCTGTTGCGTGTGGTGGGATAGCATTGATAGCATCACACGCGTTTAAATCAGCATCTGTACAGCGCTGCTCAACAGCCTCTGGACTCTCCACCCATGAAGTTCCCTTTGGGAGACCCTTAAAAACTGGTTAAAAGCCGCCCCCAGTCCATGCTTCAAAGGCAACCCCAAAAAACCACACGTGAGAAAACAAGCGCTTTCCAATGAAATGACCTCAGACTAACTGGAAAAGCGGGAACAGTACACAATCACCTTCAATACAGCAACATAAGAGTTTGCCTGCACAAATTAAAGTCCATCCATCTGTCAATATTTCTCCAATTTCTAGGCCACTGGCATGCTTGTTTATCCCCGGCTCTGAGCCACGCCAGCCACCGTGGGCGAGCACACGCTGCCTGCGGCTGCCAGGATGGACGGAGGCAGGACCTGCTGGGCTGGGCGCAGTCCCCACCAGCCTGATGAAGCATCTGTGTGGCTAAACTGCTCCTACTCAGCTGCTAACGAACCTGAATGAGGCATCTTGTTTGTTTATAATGGCACGGGTAAGGCTGGGGCTGGCCCCAGGGGCTTGGACTTGAGCAATATTTTCCCCATCAGCCGGGGACTGCTCTGCTTGCTCCCATCGGTCCCCCATCAGCACTGGCTGCCATGGGCAAGGGACCACCAGTCTTGGTGGCAGCATGTGCAGAGACGGTGTGGCAACAAGAGGGAAAAGAGGAGAGGATATTGGATTTTGCGGGTTTATGAGACAGTCTTTCCAAAGGAAGGACGGGGAGATTGTTTCACTCCAAAACCCCCATTGGCAAAGCGCTCAGTGAAGAGCCTTGGCTAGAAATGCAAACTGTAGCTTGGCTTCAGAGTAGTGACTGTGCATACCCTGGGCAGTACAAATACTTTCAGATGCCGTGGCTATAAGAAGAACTGTTAATTAGTCAATTTTCTGGGTAAACAATAAATACACATGTTACGATAAAATCCGACCACAAATTTGCTGGTTAGAATTTCTGTCCCTTAAATAACATCTTTGTGAACATGTTTTCCAGATCCCTTCCCAGACTCACCCATGCCAAACCACCCAGTACTTTGGAGGGCGTAGGCTCGTGCAGGGCCAGCAGCGTGGGAAGACAGCACAGCATTTTGGGTTACTCTCACCAGTCCCTGCATTAACAGCTGAAACCTTCTGCAAGAACTTGGATTACAATTATT